CCTGTTAAAGAGATAGGGCGTTTGAAGAATTTACTTTTTACATTTACTTGAGGCACTTCTAGTTTTAGGCAATGGTAAGGCCGGAGAATACCTGTCTTTATATTTCATAATACAGATATAATGGATACACTGTTAGATCCAATCGAATGCTATGCTGATTCTTTAAAACACTATCTCTGTTTGAGTTATTAATAACACCATATACCCTCACTGAGTATAGAGATTACTTAAAACAATAACACTATACATGTTTAGAATATTTTTTGAAATTGCTAAAAAAAAAAAAAAAAGTTATGACACAGGGTTTTTTTTGTAGAATATACCAGTGGTTCTCAAAGGTGTAGTAGATCCAGGAGTCCCTTGAAACCCTCTTAGAGAATCTACAAGTTCAAAACTACTTTCATAGTAAATCTAAGATACTATATGCTTTGTGTGAGTGTGTATGTGTTTTGACATTTATACTGATGATACAAAAGAAATAGTGAATGTAATTGCTGGACCTTTGCATGAATGAAGGCAATGACATCAAACTATTCTATTCATCTGTATTTTTCAGCTCCATGCACTTATAGACTAAATAAACCTTTCTTCACTGAGGATTTCACATGATGAAACAGTTAAAATTATTGCCATCATTAAATCTTGACCTTTGATTGTATATCTTTGCAACATTCTACATGATTAAATGAGAAGAATGTGTAAAGCACTTTTGCTCCATACTGATGTGCAGTGGTTGTCTCAAGGAAAAATACCTTGAAGTTGTTTGAGTTGGAAGCTGAACTAGGTACTCTTTCATGGGATACCATTTTTACTTGAAATTATAACTGAAAAACTAGCTATGATTATTCAGACTGAGGTTATTGAGAGACATTTTCTCAAAATGAACAAAATGAGACTGTTGCTTAATGGAAAACAACTGACTGCATTTATTGGCAATAACACAGGTCAGGCTTTCAAAAAAAATTAGACTTTTGGAAAATTTGAATTTATCCATAAGAACATGAGGAATTCCCAAATTTAAAGATTGTTCTGGTGATGTTAGTGGTGATACTGTTTTTATAATAGCACATAATGAAATGTGTCCATGTTTGGAAGAACCATATAACATACTAAACCAGTGTTTTCCAAATGGTACATCATGTTATAAAATTATGCCTGGGTGTAAAAGAAGTACAATAAAGAGCAATGAATTTTAATGTAGCAGAGTAAAATTTTATTACATTAGAAAGTTTATTATATTCATGTTGAAAATTAATTTGATTTAAACATTAAAGTTTGTGACTATTGATATGGTTCATAAAGTGCATTGATAAAGTTTCAGATTTCACAGGGCAACTAACCTTTAAAAAACTATCACTTGTTTAGTTTTGGGATGATTTTTGAGAACAATATACACCATTATTTAAAAAGGCTGTGACATACTCTCTTCCAACTACATACCCTTGTAAGATCAGATTCTATTGGTATACTTCAACCAAAACAACCTAGTACAGTAGATTGAATATAGAGGCAAACATAGAGAATACAGATGTCTTCTGTTAAGCCAGACATCAAAGAGATTTGGCAAAGATGTAAAACCTTGTTACTCTTTCTTATTTTTTTTTTCATTTCAAAATCATTTTTTAAGTGTAATTGACACAATGTTATAGTAGTTTCAGGTGTACAACATAATGATTGGGTAAACATGCTGTGCTTACCCTAAGTGAGCTACTAATTGTCCTTATACATTCTTTTTTTTTTTTTTTTTTTTAAGATTTTATTTATTTATTTGACAGACAGAGATCACAGGTAGGCAGAGAGGCAGGCAGAGAGAGGAGGAAGCAGGCTCCCTGCTGAGCAGAGAGCCCGATGCGGGGGCTCCATCCCAGGACCCTGGGATCACGACCTGAGCCGAAGGCAGAGGCTTTAACCCACTGAGCCACCCAGGCGCCCCATCCTTATACATTCTTATTATAATGTCATTGACTTTTTTTTTTAAATAACAATATTTTTCCATGAAAATGTTATTGTGCTGGAGTTAGAAAATCAACATTTTGCTACTATCATAGTAAAGACTGGTTCATGCAGGAATCATCACAGAATGCACAATCTATAGGGGAATTTTGATGAAGACCAGGGTGTTTTCTTGGCCATAAAAAGTCTCACCACATTTTTATTAGTGACAAAGGAAAAATTAAAAGAGAATATTTAGCAGAGAAATTCAACAGCACATTGACCTGGCAATCAAAGTTACCATTTTTGAGAAGCAGTTGGACAATGTATACTTCCATATGTGACAGCCGGAGGAGGATAATGTTCTAGCTGAGAATGCATAGCCTAAATCAAATCATGAGCAAACATCTGACAATACCAAATGAGAATCATTCTTTTTTTTTTTTTAAAGATTTTATTTATTTATTTGACAGAGAGAGAGATCACAAGTAGGCAGAGAGGCAGGCAGAGAGGGGCAAGCAGAGAGCCCAATGCAGGGCTCTGGTCCCAGGACCCTGAGATCATGACCTGAGCCAAAGGCAGAGGCTTAACCCACTGAGCCACCCAGGCACCCCGAGAATCATTCTTTTTAAAAGATAGACATGGTATTCTTTAAAACTGTCAGGTCATAGAAGACAAAAACTATGGGAATACTCCAGAGTAAAGGAAACTAAGGAGAGATGACACTAAATGCTACATCTGACCCTAGGCTGGATCTGCATTAGAGGGCAAAAACCCTACAAAGGGCATCTTTGGGTTAAATATACAAAATTAACATATGGCTGGTAAAATACTGTATTGATGTGGCATTTGCTGAAGTTGATAACTCTACAATGATTTTAAGAGTATCACAATTTTAAGGTAATATACCTTAAATATACCTTTGGTTCTTAAATTTTAAGGGCAAAAGGGGCCTTCATCTTTGTAACTTACCTTCAAATTGTTCAGAAAAAAATTAGGTATAAATATAAACACATGTGTGTGTGTGTATACATATATGTATGTATTTGGTGTTAAATATGTGAAAACATACACATACACAGACATATATACATACATAGAATATAAATGATTTTTTAAATGGGTAAAATGTTAATAATAGATGTATTTGAGTAATCTGTTATATAAGTGTTTTTAGTACTGTTCTTCATATTTTCTGTAAGTTTCAGTTACTTCCAAATAAAAAGTTTAAAAATTAAATGCAGTAACTTATGTTAATGTAATGGGTTCATTATTTTTTAAATGAATTAATATATATTTAACTTTTTTTTTTAAGTTTTGTTTCTCATAGAGTAAGCATGAATAGATCTAATCCATATGAATAAAACTCTTTGGGGTCCTTGATAATTTTTAAGAGTGTTAAGAGGTTCTGGGGTGCCTGGGTGGCTCAGTGGGTTAAGCCGCTGCCTTCGGCTCAGGTCATGATCTCAGGGTCCTGGGATCGAGTCCCGCATCGGGCTCTCTGCTCAGCAGGGAGCCTGCTTCCCTCTCTCTCTCTCTCTCTGCCTGCCTCTCTGTCTACTTGTGATCTCTCTCTGTCAAATAAATAAATAAAATCTTTAAAAAAAAAAAAAAAAGAGTGTTAAGAGGTTCTGAGACCACAAAGTTGGAGAACCATTGGTATAGACTATGTGTGGGTAGTTAGGTAAGTGTTCCCCTCCTCCTTTTAAGGCTATTTTATGACTCTAGTTAATGAGAGCTGATTTGGTAGATGCCACTAGTAACTTAACCTCTTTATGCCTTAGTTTTTATAATTTTAAAATAGGGATATAATATTGCCTAATAAAATAGGGATTAATAATATTAAAACAGGGATATAATAATTATTATATATAATAATATATAAAAAATAGGGATATAATATTTATAATTTTAAAATAGGGATACAATATTTAAAATAGGAATATAATATCCTCAGAGGACTATTTTAAGGTGTAAGTCAGGTGTCTATATAAGGCTCTTAACTATTGACCATTCTGCAGTTCTGTCTTTATTGGCAATGTGTGTTCCTGCTCTTTATTGCTTCTTTTTGTCATTTATTATTATGCTTTGGCCAGTGATTTTGGTTCTAAATATATGCATAAGAACCACCACAAAGAAACCAAAGAAGAGTATCAGATAGTTCATAAACTGCAAGTTTACAGTGGTCATGCCCCTTCAAAGAAATGATTAGGGAAACATAGAAGGGTAAAGATGAGCAAGCAGTTTGGGATTTTTGGAAGTCTCTGATATAATAAAGAGCATAATAAACCTGGGAAGGGGGTGCCTGGGTGGCTCAGTGGTTTAAGGCCTCTGCCTTCAGCTCAGGTCATGATCTCAGAGTCCTGGGATTGGGCCCCACGTCAGGCTCTCTGCTCAGCAGGGAACCTGCTTCCCTTCTTTCCTCTCTCTCTGCCTGCTTCTCTGTCTACTTGTGATCTCTGTCAAATAAATAAATAAAATCTTTAAAAAAAAAATAAACCTGGGAAGTTGGACCAACGATTGTATGAAGAGTAGTTGATAGAAAATATGACTGGACAGGAAATACTTCTTCATTGGCGACAGACTGGAACCATACTTAGCACTATTTCCTTGGTATTTCAAATTCCAGATAGGCATTCTCTGATTAAATGTGTATGTGTATATTGGGTTATTTAAGTTGTTATAATAATATATACTTAAGGTAAAGAAAGAATACTACTATTTTGTGACATTTTCCCTGTTTTCTCAGCCATGTCTAAATTTAGCTCTATTCTGTATCTCACTCTATCAAGCATCAAGCTAATGAAAAAGAAAGGAAATTAGATTTTTAAACTATATTATGTTCACCTAATTGCAAATTATCACTTTTTTAAAAAAAAAACAAGTGTGGCTTTATTCTTTTCAACTTTTTCTCTTTTACAGATAACTATAACTGTTAATATAAGAAATTATCACTTTTTAAAAGATCAAAAGATACATAAATGTAAAGGCTTTATGTCATTTCAGTATGCTATTTTATTGTCTTTTAACCTTCTTTCCTAAGACTTGTGATTTGTTTTTTTAAACAGATCATCAGAAACTGGAAAGAGAAGCTAGAATCTGCCGTCTTCTGAAGCACCCCAATATTGGTAAGGAAATCTTTTCAATGTATTTTAAATGTTAATGTTTATGTTATGTATTTTTTAACCACAAGTGTGCTTTAGTAATATTACTTTAGTAATATAGACTGTTTGCAACTTTTAAGAAATAAGTTCCTAATTTTTGGTTTTGGTTACATTTGATTCTTCAAGAGTTTTTGAAATGTTTTTCAAAAGGTAACAATTAATGTACTAATACTTTAAAAATACTATAAAGTATTATTAATTGAGTAGTGCTTTTATGTGTCTTCAAGGATTGTTCAGCTGCTGCTGCTGAAGTTTGGAGAGACAGAATTTATGTCATTATTTTAGTCAGCTAAGTTACTTTTTACCTATCCTGCAAGGAGTTTTTCGTATAGTTATTGATTTTCCTCCAGAAACTAGTAAAATTATTTTACTCTGTTATCCCCCATGAATTATGAAATAGCAAGATAATGTTCAAAATAAAAAACTGATGAATATAAGAAAAATAGAAGAAACAAAGGAAAGAAAAAGAATACAAAGAAAAACAACGAAAAGAACAAGAACATGATTCTGTGTTAGTGGTGTTGATTATTTTAGATCAATGTCACTGCCCCAGCTCTGTGAGTTTTATTGTCAGCCAAATTATTTGTCATGTAGAAGTTGTGAGAGGAGTGATAATGCAGTAGAATTTCAAAATCATTCACTGAGAAAGTTTATAGTTCTTCTGTTTTTGTGAATGGGACCATTAAATTTCTATTCCTGACTTGAAGTTTCTAGCATCCTGCATGTTTCTTAGGTTCTTAAGTGAATGAATGGACACTACCAAGTAAATCTGGAGCATAAACAAAGCAGCAGCTGTCTAATATGAACCTTCTGGTTGGAGAGAGAACAACTCTGAAATGTAAATCTACCTCTTTTTCAGTGTTTTACCTGATAGTCTTTGGCATTTCTTGGTTGGCTATCTTATTTTGCAAGGGCTGTCATAACAAAGTGTAACAGATTAGATGGCTTTAACAAAGAAATTTATTTTCTCATAATTCTGTAAGCAAGAAGTCTGAGATCAAGGTGTTAGGGTTTGTTTCTCCTGAGACTCTTCTCCTTGGGTTGATAGAAGATAGATGTCTTCTCCCTATGTCTTCACGTGGTCTTGTCTCTGTTGTAAATTTTTCTTCTTATAACAGCACCATCATATTGTATTGGGGTTCACCCCAGTGACCTCATTTTAACCTAAATGCCCTTTCAAAGACTTCAAATGCAGTCACTTTCTGAGATCCCAAGGTTGAGACACAATTTTGGAGAGACAGTATTCAGTCCATAATATTGGCTAATAAGAAATTATACAGTATGACCCACTATGGTTCAAAGAGCACTGTTCTTGCTCAGGTTTAAGATAAAATGAAATTTTCGTTTGGTTCACTTTGTTATTCTTGTGAAGAAGAGTTGTTTTTTGTTTTGTTTTTAATCAAGGTCTTTCTGTGAAACTCTGCTTTTGGAGAAAATAAAACTGGTTGTCCTCATTTCCTGTAGGAGACCAAAGTCAGACATTCTAAAGACACTCAAACTAAAACAAGAACAATTTTCATTTTGAAACCCCATGCAGAATAACCTTACTAACAAAGGGGAAGTTGTATACTGGGGAAATTTCTGAAATTTTTTGACATAGACAGCATCATTAACACACTCTGACACTACATATAATTTTTTTCAGTGGTCCATAGCCGCCAATGCCGTGGCTTTTTGGTCACTTCACTTGAGATTTTCTTCCGTCTTTCAAGATTTCGGGAGTACAAAAGTATCTATAGAAATTTCAGGTCCTGAATTCCAAGATCCATTTCTAATCACAAGAGATATTTTGTAGTGATTCTGTACTGCAAGATGGGAGTCAATAGATTAAACTAAGACACACTCAAAACTAATAACAGTGGCAAATTACTCATATTATTCATTCACTCAGCAAGGTCATTTTCTGGGAATACAATAGGAATACAGCAGACCATTATACCTGCCCTCACATAGATTGCATTTTTGGGATAGACAGACAGTAAGCAAAGTATAGGATGTTATATTGTCATAAGTACTGAGGGGGAAAACAAACAGGGAGTGGAAATTGGTTTTGTTGGGGGATTATGATTTCAGATAGTTTGGTAGGGATGACTTAATTGAGAATGAAATTGGAATAAAGACCTAAAAAAGAACAGGAGGAAACAAGTCATTTGGCTTCCTGGGGCGGGGAGCATCAACAGATAGAGGAAACAAACAGCCTGTGTAAAAACCCTGAGGCAAGAGTTTGCCTAGTTTGCCTAGTTGATTCCACCAAAACTTTTTTTCTAATTGGAGAAATGTGGATGAATTATTTTTCATTCTACCTTACCTTAATTGATTATCTTAATTAATCTTCATGTTATGCACTTTGACAATGTTGTATTTTCTCATATGAAGAGAAATGATTAAACACCAATAGTAATTGTCAAAAAATAATAAGCAGCAGTAAACAAAGGAATGGTTTAAAGATAGGTGCCATGATGGATATCTGATTATCCTGGAGAGCAGGGTCGAACAGTGAAGTAAGCAGAGTGCTGCTGCTCCTGTTTGTCACACTTGGTTAACAGCTTCACACGAGTCACTCGCACTGGTTCAGTTTACTCAGGGAAAACAGCATTTGGTCTTGATTCTCCTTAAATAGATAAAGTGATATCCAGTATGAGACTCTTACTTCTTCTTCCCTTTCCTCCATTCTGTTATGTGGTAGGTTATCTTAAAATCTGCCAGCTTTTAAAACTTGAAGGAAGGAAATACTACTTTGGACAGTTTTTCCTCTGGTGAAATTTTTGCTTGTTACCTTTTTTTTTTTTTTTTTTAATGTGCCTTTCTCTTCGCACAGAATCAATAATCAGGGAACTTGCAAGTAAAAGGTTTCTCTTGGAGAAACACATAAACCAATGAAAATTGGTAATTCATAAACCACTTTTTTTTCTTTAGTGTTTTTTTAATGTTTTTCTAATTTTCAAAGTAAAACACAGTGGAAAGTTTGGAAAATACAGTGATGTTTGAAGACGAAACCAAAGGAAATGACTTTTAATATTTGTTATATTCATTTCTACCTTTTGTTGATAAATCTTATAACTTTCAGTATTCTCTTCTACATATTTTCATACCCATTTAGGGAAACCATGAAAACATAATTTTAAAAATTATCTTAATAAAATTTATTTAGTATCGTGGTCATTGCCGGCCATGTTCTAGGCTCAACACGCTGGTGATGAAGTAGTAATCAAGAGAAAGAATATCTCTGCTTACCCAAAGGTCATACCCTAGTGTGAGGAGATAGGCCATAAACAAATGACCATCATTATAATGTCATAGAGGTTAGTTCTCTGCAGAGAAGTAAAATAGCATAAATTGACACCAGGGGATTGGGTGACTACTATCAAAGAGAATCAGAATCAGATACGTGTTTAAGTCAATAGACAGATTTTATTCAACATTATTGTATTAGGAGAAAGAGCTGAGCTCAATTCCAAATACAGCAAAGACAACTGGGGATTTATAGCCAGGGAGCAGAATGAGAATTGAAAATTGCTGAGAGGAGATATCAAACGTAGGGGGATTCTTCCTGAACTTACTAAACTACTGACGAGATTCTTGTTAAAGGAAGGCCAGAGGTTCAGTCAGACATCAAGGGTGAGGGATGAAGAACTTGATCAGATGTCAAGGGTGATCACGTATCAAAGATGGAAGGATGACTTTGTAGGATTCTTTGCTAAGACTAACTTAGGCAGGTTGAGTATAGGGCCCAAGAAAAGGCCTAGTCAAAAAGAGGGCTCAAAGGAGCCTGTCTAATTTTGGGGATAGTCTTTGTCACTACATTGAGTGGCTTGTCAGGCAAGGTATGTCTGCAGGCATCATATTTAAATTGATATCTAAAAGATAAGAATCCATCAAGGAAAAGCTCAGGGAAAAAGGGTTTCAGGCAGAGTAGATTTCTCCTATTAGAGAAAGAGTTAGAAGATTGGCGTGTAGCCTACCATGAGTGAACGAGAGAGAATGACCTGAGATGGGTCAAAAGGATAGGTAGATGCGTGACCACATAGGGCATTGGAAATCAGGTTAGAGCATTTAGGTGTTATTCTAAGTGCAGTGGGAAGCCAGCAGAAGAGTGATAAGCAAGACCGCATCATCTGATTTGTTCTGCCTGCTGTGTGTAAAATGGATTGTAGTCACATGAGCACAATCAGAGATAATAGTGCCCCATTAGTTTCATTAGAATCCCGTGTTTATCACCCTTGGCTCCATCTTTTCCGTAAGGATTTAAATAGATCCAGACTGACCTCTTTTCTGTGTGCTCCTCATAGTCCATGGAAAGTACCATGCACTTTATGGCTCAACAAATTTGGGAGTGCAGGCAATTTCCTAAGCAGCTCCATCTTTGCTCTGTCTTCAGAGGAGCTAGACAGACTATTTTGTTTGAGCCCCAAATGAGAAAGATTATAGTTAACCTTATCTTGAGGTGTTGAAGCAATTTGGCAAAAAGATCTTACCTCAAGCTTCTATTAATTAACTTATTTTTTATCATTATGTTTATCCTTTATTTTAATAAAATGGGATTATTTTCTCTTGAGTTATAAACAGATATGTGATAAATCAAATAATTTGAGCTATATGTTAGCATATCCAGTAAGTGAAGGAAAATAACTTTAAGGCAGTGAAATAAAGTACTTGAGGTAATAGCCAAATTGTTCTCAAAATTATTTTATATTTCCACTGTTTTTGTGCTTGATTTTTGATAAGCATTATTACTGAGGAATTTTTTAAACCTATGGCAAAATCCAAATAACTCAAAACAAGAGAAACTAGGGAGATCAGGCAAAACGCTCATTTAATGCAACTGTATAAATCTGAAAAGAAGTGGGCCAGGAAAGGAAAAGAGAAAATATCAGGAACTTTGATCTGATTCATCTGAGGTTCCAAGGGAGAAGATAACCACTTATTCTTTATTTGTAAGGAGATCAATATTTGAGACAACTTTT